TTTCGTGCTTTTACTTGACACTTATTATTAATGACAAGGGACACTTCTTATTGATGACAAGCGGCTCATCTCCCCATCATCTTCTTATAAATTCTCAAAACTTTTGTGGGCCATCTCGCAAGGATAAAGAACACACGTGTTACTGGAGGCTAATGTGAACTGACAAAGGACCCGACTAAATAATATACAACTTTCTGGACTTGCTTTCGGTCTTCAATCTCTCTCTGACTCTCGCTCTCGCTCGGTTCTTTCATTCTTATATTGCGTTTGCTGCAATTCAGAATCTATTCAAGCGCTCTAGCTGGTTTTGTTATTTCCCTCTGGTAAGGTTACCGGACGTTGTGTTCTTTCCCTCTAGTAGCAGCTACTTTACCTTTGCTCTTATATTCTAATTCTTCTTGACTTATGCTACTGTTCAATTATAGAATGAAAAATAATAAATCATCTTTTACATGTTTATTTTCTCATATTTGTTTTGTATTATAATTGTTACTGAATATTTTCTTTTTGCTTTGCAGTTTGCGCGTCCTCATTCGTTTTTACTTTGATCCTTCATTGTAGCTTCCCCTTAGTTGATTGCTTTGATATTCTGCAAATCAACCAAAAAAAATTTTCAAAAAAAAAAAAACGAAAAAGAAGGCTTCCTATCCACAAGTACGGAAGACTCTCCAAAATAAAAAGGGTTAGCAAATATTTTTGTTGTATCCACATCATTATTTCTCATATATCTTCTCTGTTTATCATGCATTTAGTGTGTTTGGTTCATGACTTGGTAGTACTTGGATCCGTCTCTTAGACATAAATAAAACCTCCAGTAAGGCACACCACTAATAAACTACATGCACACAGGGGTTTACTTAATGTAGAGAAAATTTGAGCAGTTATGATAAAAGTTATTAATTATCCCACTAAACTTGTCATTGAGTTCTTATGCTTGAAACCAAAAATATTATTTATGAAAAACAATTATCATTCTTGAACTTATAGTTGTAATTAATCATAATCAAGGTTTCTTTATACGGAATTTGTTATTGAGCTCCAATGTAATTTTAGGTAATATAATTTATAAGAAAAATTAATTTCAGAAAAAGACACAGGAGCTCCTGTGTAATTAGTTTATTTCCTGACACTCACGTATCGATAATCTATTCCTGTGGTCTTCGCATGTCATTCTCCCAAAAATACAACAAAAAGAGTAGCCGGTAATGTCATTTTCTTATATGTGTTCGTTTTTCTCATACTTTGTCAATTTGAGTCCTTATCCTTAATCCTTATTCAGTTTTGACCCCTTTTGTTTTGTAGCTTTGCGCCCTGATTTATTGGTATTCGGATTTCGCGTTCCCTGGGTTGATCGCTTTGTTCTTCTACAAATTAACAAAACTAAAAGATAAAAAGGTCAGTGTGCTTTGATCATCATCAACACCACCGCTGTCATCACCACCACTCCTGCTATTATGTTTTAATGTTCCCATTTGCCTTGCGTTACTTACTATTTGTTTCTTCTCCTCACTACCAATCTTGAATAAATAATGAGTTTTCTGTACCCAAAAATCACGATTGGCAAATGTCATGAACAGTCTGATTAAGAAAATACTAATAAGTTTTTTTCACCCTTAAAAAGTATTTTTATATTTTTATAAATTATAAATAATATAATTACTATAATAAAAAAGTGTGTTGTTAATTCCTACTCAAGACTTGTTATCTCACAACCAGCGGTTGTTAGTCCCAGAATGGAGTGTTCTAATTTTTAATTGATTCACATGTTATGTATCAAGAAAAACAATAAAAAGTGCTGTTAAGCCCAAGTCAAGGCCTGTTATTTCATAATCAGGATGATTATTTTTAGATAAATTGTTGTCATTTTTAATTGATCATGTGTTATATATCCAAAATAAAACATGTTACTTTCCACTCCAGACTTATTAATTTCTTAATAACAATTTTTTATTTCTAGATAAATTGTTGTCAAGACTTGAAGTCAAGGAGTTGACTTGTACTTTTTCTTCCATTATACTACTTTGAAGTCTTCTTGGCTTGGTGGTTATTTTTAATTTTGGCAACGAACATGGTTGGGGATTAAATCCCACCAACCCACTTTCCTCCCCTTTGAAGGAAAAAGTTCCTTGGCCAAAAAATTTTTTTTAAAAAAATAGCAGTGCAATTGGCAGCCAGCCTCACTGTGCTATTAAAATAAAAAGGGTTAATTAATCTGCAAATCCTTATAGTTTCAATGAATTTTGAATCAGGTCCCTATAGTTTTTTTTCTTTTTATCAGGTCCTTATACTTTTACCTTTTTTTAATTAGGTCCTTGTATTTATTTTTCTTTTAATTAAGTCCTTATAATTTTATTAAATTTTTAATCAGGTCCATGTAGTTTTCATTTTTATTTATTAATTAAATATAAGTTTAATTAAATAGATTAATACTGAAATATAAAATATTAATAATTAAATTTAATTAATAATTATGTAATAAAAAGTAATAGAATTAATTAATTCAGGAAAATTTTTTAGAACAATTAATTTTTTTGCTGAAAAAATTAAAATCATTATAATAATTCAATATCTTTAGAATATTATTGTTTATAAACTAATATTAAATAATATATACTATTTTCTGTTTATATAATAGTATTATTAGAATTTATAAAATAAAAATAAAAAATTCAGAGACTTAATTAAAAATAAGGTGAACTTATAATGACTTGATAAAAAGAAAAATAAATACAAGGACCTAATTAAAAACAGGTGAAAGTATAAGGACCTAATAAAAAGAAAAAAAACTATAAAGACCTGATTCAAAATTAGTTAAAATTATAAGGAGCTATGGATTAATTATCCCAAATAAAAATATATACTTGAAGCATAAAAAAACTATATTTTTGAATGTGACTGTTATTGCAAACGTATACTTGAAAATGATCAGCCCCTTATTTTTTTTTCTTTTTAAAAAAAACTGATGGTCTTACTTGACGGTCGTTATTTGTTATAAACATCACATATTATTACACTGTGTGATGATTATTGCACACAAATGTCACGTAAGAATACCAAGGAACAAAAAACCGGACCGGAAACAAAATCGGTCAAGACAGTGGGTCAAGGGTTACTGGTTGAACCAAGGGTCGGACCGGTCATATTAAAATAATATAATTTAATTCATAATATTAAAATAGAAAAAAGAGTCCATAAAACTCTTGCCCAGGCCATTAGCTCGGTTGCCACAAGAATGCACAAAATTACTAGAATCAACCAACAAAACCTTGCTTAAAGCACATCCTTCGACCTTCATCAGCCAACAAAACCCGCAGACCCCAGCAATTTGAGTACATCCTTCATCAATTCCCAGCTCTGCACTCACATACTTCAACAGATCTCTTCTTAAGCGTCCTAAATAAAGTCTCACAATCCAGTTCAACAAAAGTAATTTAAAACCGGTATGATTGATTAAATTTGAACTAGGCGAGCAGCAAAATCTAGGATTTGGAGAGGCGAGTAGGCGACCACCGAGCTTCCTCTGTCTCTGCTCTCCACGACGCATGACAGATCAACCATCGTGCCTTCGTCTCTACTACAAGTCGACCACTGCGTTGCTCTCTCCACCCTCCACAGCAACTTGACGGCGCTATAAGGGATTTGGGGCAGGGAGAACGGTCGACTAGAATGAACTCAACGAAGAAGGGAATAGGAATCTTGGTCAACCATCGTGCCTCCGTCTCCACTACAAGTCGACCACCACGTTGCTGTCTCCACTCTCCACGGCAACTTGACGACGATGCAAGGGATTTGTGGCGATAGGGAGAATGGTTGAGCTCAACAAAGACGGAAATGGGATTCTAGCCAAGAGATAGGGACCGAGGGAATTGTACCGCAGCGTTGCAATTTTTTTTTTTAATGTTGGACAACGTCGTTTTGGGCATTGAGTGAGGAAAAAAATTAAACCGGCCAACCCCCAAACCGGGCAATTGACTGGTTTAATACCGGTTGGACTGATTTATTACCGGTTCTATAGGTGACTGGTTTTTTTCTTGAACCAGACTGGACTGGAGATTGATTCACCAGTTTTCTGGTTGAACTGGCCGGTCCAGTCCGGTTTTTTTTTCCTTGAAGAATACTCATAAAAGTTACATGAATAAATAACGACTTTAATTGTAAAGCCAAAGATACGTTAGAAAATACTTGACGTAGACAGTCAAATATTTGGGCCAAAGAATATATGACATGTAATAAAAGCTTAGGTAATGGGCAACTCCTTTTTTTTTTTTCCCTTAGAATTTTTTTGATTAGAAGGCAAAATGCATTAAGGGAAGAAACATAAAAGTTAGGTAATACTGCCATACCTTAAGTTTGTCCAGTGAAAGCCATCCAGGAAGTACAGAAAGAAATAGTACGTTACTTTCGTTTAAGCAATATAATATAATTGTCCATCCAGCCTTGTTGATGCTAGAGAAATCTTTCCTAATTGGTTTAGATGAGGAAATAATGTACAATACAGTTTTGAATATATAATCCTTCAAGAATATATGACTTTTCCCATAAAATATACTATACAGTTTGAATATATTAAAGGTTCATTTTTAAGACATTTTTAGGTGTAAATTAGTAAAATGAGGATAAGAGAACTAACATAACAGGGGGGAAAAATGCAAACAGGATAGACTTTTTTTCTTTTCCTCCTGGACAACAAGGATAGACTCTGACTTTACAATTCATTTATGAGCCCATTTGGAATAGCTTATAAGTAACTTTTCAATCATGATTTACGGAATACAAGGTAAATATATAAGAGGAGTTTTGTCTCGGTTTACGTAAAATGTGTTTATAAGTGATTTCAATTGTGATGGCAAATAGGGTCTTAACTTCATTGTCCATTATATCAGTAAAACATTCTATATGTCCATAGCTTTTGACTTCTTAAGTTATCGTTTTTACGTCGAATGCTTTAATGAGCAGACAATTGGAATTACTTTAACGGTAGTCTCATATTTCCTTGTCAGATGATGACAAGCGCTGTGGGTGGTTTGGCAGAGATATTGGTGACTGACTTATCGAAGGAAGGCAAGCTATTTATGTAGTTTCAATACTTGCGTTGAAGACTTTGAGGAAAAAAAAGGTTTATTATATGCTAAACGAAGAAGTGTGCTGAACGCAGTTGAAGAGGCCAAAAAGAGAAATGAGACCCAAGTTGACTTTGAAGTTCAGCAATGGATACAAGAAGCTGATTCTTATATCTCTCGAGAGGATCCTATGCCAATGAAGACATGTCTTTTTGGTTGGTGTCCTAATTTCTGCCGGAATTACCTACGAGGGAAGAAGGTAGCAAAGTGGACGAGAGAGATTACAAGCCTAATAGAGAAATGTGATTTCAGTAGAGTGGTGCATGGAAATGAACCTCCAGGCATAGAATTCTATTCACAAAACTTTATTGATTTTGAGAGCAGAGAATCAGAATTCCAGAAACTTGTGAAGGCACTAGAAGATGTAAATTTCTCCATGATTGGATTATATGGGATGGGCGGAACTGGTAAAACCACTCTAGCAAAACAGTTGGGCATACAAGTTAAAAATTCTGGAGCATTTGGAAGAGTCATATTTGTTGTTGTGCCTAGTCCTCCAGATATAAAAAAGATTCAACTCAACATTGCAGGTCAGTTGCGTTTGGATTTGGGAGAGGGAAAGGAAGAAATGTACTCGAGGATTTTGTGGACAAGAATCGCTAGCGATGAGAAAAGGGTACTCATAATACTAGATGGCATGTGGGAAAAGCTAAATCTAAAGGATATAGGGATTCCCTATGGCCCCAATCACATGAATTGTTGTGTTTTGATAACCACACGTGATTCAAGAGTTTGTGATGGAATGGGATGCCAACCGACAATTGGGCTGCAGACATTAACAACTGACCAGGATACATTGAATCTTTTCGTTGAACATGTTGGTACAACAAAAGAGGATCTAATTTTCAATGAATACATGAGTCTTGCACGAGAAATCGTACGCGAGTGTGGAGGACTACCAATTACAATTGTGACAGTAGCGACCACATTAAAAAGTTGGCGTCCAAGAGACTGGAAAATTGCTTTGGAAGCCTTGCAGCGTTGTGAGCCATTGCATAATGTTCATGAGGGCATGACGAAAGTTTATAATGAGGGCATGACGAAAGTTTATAATGATTTGAGATCAAGTTATGATAGACTTGAGGAAAGTGCCAAACATGTGTTCCTGTTATGCTCTCTCTTTCCTCAAGGTTATGAAATTCCTCTACACCTTTTATGCAAACTTAGTGTAGGACTGGGCCTTTTTGAGGAAGTTCACAACTATTTGGCAGCAAGAAGCAAGGCAATTAGAGTAAAAGAGATAATCAAATCATCTTCTTTATTGTTTGAGCCTAAAGAAGCATATGTAAAGATGCATCGCATGGTTCGTGAAATGGCCTTATGGGTATCAAACAAAGACATGCAGGTCGTTATGGATTCAAGGACAAGTGTAAAGTCACACATACGATTTTTGTTTTGGAGTAGATATGGCCTTCCCAATCAATTCGATGGCACTAAACTTGAGATTCTAATACTTTGGATAAAAGGAAAAGTGAAGATGGAAGATTCATACTCAATCTTTGAAGAGATGGCAAGACTCAGAGTTTTAGTTTTGCACTATGCTGGTGATCATAAATATGTCGCTGTATCATTGAAGCCGCTTCATTCGCTGAAGAACGTCCGAACTCTTATCTTGGATGGTTGGAGATTAGGTGACATCTCTGTTTTGAAAGTCCTACGTGGTCTTGAGATTATTGAGTTGACCAATTGCTCAATCGATGAGTTACCAGATGAAATAAGGAAGCTGAAGAGTCTGAGATCATTAGGATTAAGGAAATGTAAAATTGAAAGGAATAATCCTTTTGAAGTGATTGAAAGGTGCATTCAATTAGAAGAGCTGGATTTTGTTTTGAATTGCAATTCTGAAGATTGGAAGGAAGATGGTGAGATAGAAAATATAGATGAAGTTGTTCCAGATGTTTCTCCTCCTACATTGAAAAGGTACTCTATAGCTTGCCCTCATCTTAAATATTTTTATCATGATGATAATGGCATGCTAAATTGCCTTAATACTGAGAATGTAAAAAGCTTAATCTCAAATGCCATGTTTGAGAACATTGTGAGAACAGCAGAGGTTCTTGAGCTGGGAGAAATAAGAGGTGTGGGATGGAAGAATCTTGTACCTGACATCATTCCTTTGGAAAATGGAGGCATGAATGATTTAACTAAACTTTGTTTGTATTCTTTAGTTGATATGGAGTGCATCGTTGACACTAGCAATTACGATCTTGATTCTAAGGTGGAAGTCTTCTCCCACTTGGTTCAGCTGTTTCTAGATGGTGTGGATATGAGAGAATTATACCGTGGTCCTATGATCTCTGGATTTCTCGAGCGGCTAGAGATTTTAAAGTTGCGAAACTGCAAGAAACTGCGCAGTGTATTCTTCGATAGAAATCTCAAACTACCTCAACTGAAGGTCTTGCATTTGATAAATTGTCCCATGTTCCAATCATCAATCTTCCAATCATCTGTTGCTCAAAATTTAGAGCAGTTGCAAGAACTAATAATCAGTGATTTTGAGGAGCTGAAAAGAATAATCACATATGAGAGCTTGGGAGAGGGAATAGTGGAAGTTGATAATGAAAAAAATAGTTACAGCACACTGTTTCCAAATTTGAGAACTCTTGAAATAAAAGGATGTGGCAAATTAGAATGGATATCACCGCGCCTTTATGCCAAAGACCTTCTCCGTTTGGAAGCTGTAATTATAAGAAAATGTGAGGGGCTGAAATACCTATTTGGTGAATGCCGAGGACATGAGGGCCGGGTTTTGCATGAAGAGATTATGCTCCCTTCATTGACAAAAATGGTACTTGATGATGTACCCAATTTCATCACACCATTTCCAGAATGTAACACAGATACGCAAGACCATACAACTTCACTGGTATGTTACTCTTACCCCACTTTGAATTTTACCTTATGATTTCTCATTCTAATAGTAAATGAAAGGACTGGTCAAAATTCTACATTTTCTAGAGTGGATATTTCCTTCTTTATTACTATATTTCATGAGTTCTTATCAGTTAAAGTTTTTGCCACATCGCATTAATCACTTGAAATTATTTTTGTCCGAAAAATGTGTGTGTAGGAATTACTGGCCTCAATGAAAGAGAGTCAAAGAGCGAAGTGTCTTTTGAGACGATCATTAAACCTGCAAAATGTAAAGCAGATGACAATTGTGGAATGTTCAAATTTAATGTCATTGTTCTCTGTATCCATTGCCACAACTGTAAAGTTGGAGAAGTTGACAATCCAGAGGTGTCATGAGATGAAGCGCCTCATAATAAATGAGGAAGAGGATAGTCACATGGACAGTATCTCCATTTTCCCAGAACTAGAGGAGCTCGTAATTGTTGACTGCGGGAATATGGAATTTATTTTTCCATCTACTTTTTCAGTGTGTCTTCAAAAATTGAAGTCTCTGATTATTGGAGCTGCTGCAGAACTAAAATATGTCTTTGGCCGTGAAGAGTATTTATCAAATGAGATAGAAAACAAAGAGCTTTCCATCGATCTCCCTGCTCTGGAAACACTAAGCCTTACAGATGTGCCAAATATCATCAGCATTTCTTCAAATGGAAGACAATTGAATTTGGAAACCGCAAAGGTAACCCACTTTGACTTACTGTTTTATAGCATGTCAATATTCTTTTAAAATTTTACTTCGGTATCATCATTGATTATTAAGTACTTATTGTTGATTATAGTTTGATTGTTGTCAAATCATTGAAATCTTAAATTGGTAACTAAGAGAGCATACCATTTCCCTTTTTTTTTGCTTCGTGTGTGCATGATATAAATTCTTGTCAAAACAATTTAATCAACTCTTATTGAAATTTATAAAAACAAATGTTTGTAGGAATCACTAGGCTCAATGCAAGGGACTCAAACTTTTCATACAGCTCAGTGTCTTTTGAGACAACCAGTGAACCTAGAAAATATAAGGCAGATGACAATTGTGCAATGTTGGAAATTAACATCACTGTTCAGTATATCCATTGCTACAACTATAATGTTGGAGAAGTTGACAATCCAAAGGTGTGATGAGTTGAAGCACGTCATAACAAATGAGGAAGAGGATCATGATCATATGGACTACATCTCCATTTTCCCAAAACTAGAGGAGCTCGTAATTGTTGATTGCAGGAATATGGAATCTATATTTCCATCCAGTTCTTCAGCACGTCTTCAAAAGTTGAGGTTTGTGATTATTAAAGCTGCTCCAAAACTGAAATATGTCTTTGGGAGATTTGGTCGTGAAGAGTATTTGTCAAATGAGAATGAAAATAAAGAGCTTCACATTGATGCACCTGCACTGGAAACAATAAGCCTTATAAATGTGCCAAATGTCGTCGGCATTTGTACAAATGGAAGACACCTGAGTTTGGAAACGGCAAAGGTACGTAGCACTTCGAACTGACTGTTCCATAGCATGTTAATATTACTCTAATTTCCGGGCACAAATATTGCCCTTTCTATTATTAGCTAGTTTCTTTACAACAATGCTTGGATATTCTTTCAAACTTGCACATTTATATGATTGCTGATTATTGGTTTTTTTTTTATAATATTCTTTCAATAGTTATCTGTTTTAGATAGACTAATCTAGAACTTACAATTAACATGCATATGCAGAATTTGAGCAGTCAAGGAGAAATAGAATCCGAAATAGAAGAAATAATTGATGATGAAAGACCAATGACATCAAGTGTGAGCGCCAAAGTTCTCAACTTCCGTATTCTTCGAGAAATAAAGATCATAGAATGCAGAAAGATAAAAGCTATGTTCCCTACCTCTACATGGAGAAGCCTATCACAGTTATGCAAGTTATGTATATTAAACTGTGAAGAATTAGTTCATGTAGTTGATGAGGATTCATATGACTATGATCATTCCAGTGACAGATACATTCTCCCAAAACTGGAATATCTTCAAATCCAGAATTGCAACAAATTGGAGTCTATATTTCCTTCCTCTTTTCTTCGAGGCCTTCCAACATTGAAGTCTATGATCGTCCAGCAAGCTGCTGCTCTGAAATTTATTTTTGGAAAATACCATCAGGGAGATTATTTATCTAAAGAGAAACAGAATGGTAGGTTTGAGGTTGGTCTCCCAGCTTTGAAAACACTATCACTTAGAGAAGTGCCACATATGATCAACATTTGTGCCAAAAGATATTCTGTGATGCTGCCATCTCTACAGCAAATTGGTTTAGACAACTGTCAGCTGACAAGGGATTCTCTAAATTTGACGGGTTATTGGAAACCTGAAAAGGTAACGCCTCTCTTGGCTTTTGGTTATATGACATGTGCTAGCTAGTGCTGTGCTTGTTTGACCCTCTTGCTTGAATTCTTTTTTTTTTTTTTTCAATTAAAGTTCAACTTTTAGTGAAATGGGCTAACTCAACAAATTCTTAAGAAAGGTGACTGTAGTACTTTCAATTTCGAAACCAATTCTAATCTTTTCATTGGATGAGGTTTATTAAGAGGATTACAAAAAATAGCTAGCTAAGATGAGGATCCATTCCTTGCAAAACCTTGCTGATCTGTTATCTCAATTTCATTTATGAGATTTAGATGGAATATCATTAATTCGTTTTATCAACGCCTTTTGTTAATTTTTACCAATTGAGTCTGAATATTTTAGTTCACTTTATTCTTATGCATGTGTGTAGATACATACGTGTATGAGTATATAATGTTTCTGCCAATAATCTATTATCCATTAACTTGTTGAATTTGTACTGAAATTTGGAATTGGACTGCCTCTGCTAGGAATTAAAGAAAATTCGTCGCTTGACAAATCTTGAGGTTGGGAACTCCACAATAGACGAGGTTTTTAACCTGGAAGGAGTAAAAATTGGAAGACTAGTGAGATTAAGCTTACAATCCATGATGCTGAAAAATCTAAGTGAGCTGAAGCAAATGTGTAAGGGCCCTAAAAGTAGTTTGAGCTTCGACCATCTTCGCAGTCTGAAGGTCATAGGATGTAAAAGCCTAAGAGCGATCTTCTCCATCTCGATACGGAAAGAACTGCCAAACTTGTTCCATTTAAAAATAAAAGACTGTGAAGAATTAGTTCAGATTATTGAGGAGGATGCCCAAAAAAGTGCTGATGATGATAGGCAACAAATTAGCTTCCCAAAATTAGAAAAAGTTCACATCCAGAACTGTCATGGCTTGAAATTTCTCTTCTCAATTTCCACACCCAACATGTTCCCAAAGCTAGAGAGTTTGGAAATAGAAGCAGCCTATGAGCTAGAGCAAATATTTAAACGCAAACAAGATGATACACAGAAGATGGTGGTAAAAGATGCGTTTCCAAATCTCTCATATTTAAGACTCATAAAATTGCCAAAGCTTGTCACTGTTTGTTGGGGGATGCCGTTTCAAACTTTGCCAGATCATCAAGTGGTTGATTGTCCTAAGTATCAAGGTATGAATGTAACTAGAAAAAGTTCGCTCCTTTTAATTGCTAGTTTTTATTAATATTAATAATATGTAATAATATTGAAAATACCACCGCAGAAATTACTTCTCAACAAGTCCAAGAAGCAGAACCTGAACATTTGGATTTAGATATTCAAGCAGCAAATGAGGAGCCACTTTGTCGACATTCCAATAATGTCGAGGCTCTGTCACATGTGGGAGAAACAAGTTCCTTGCCAAACTCAGCAGAGGTATATTGGAATAATCATTACATGGGGAAAATATCATACATATGTTGCCTAGTTGTTAAAGGATTCTAACATGTGCACTGTGAAAAAAAGAGAAATTGATGCATTAACAAGACGTATCTTTTCCTATTGTAGAGCATGAAGAAAACAACAAAGGAGGTTGAAGCCAAGGAATCTACTCAAGCTTTAGAGAAACAAGCATTTGAAATTTCAACGGTTAATTTACTACCAAGAAGGGCATCTCTACATGTAAGTTTACTGATTACTTGGTTATTTTTAGTTTAATAATAAATTGCTTCTAACATGGTCTTAATCTTTTATTCAATGTTTCAAATAGGGGTTGAATGATGAACAGACGATGAAAAAACCAAATGAGAAACTCCAACATCAAGTCCTTGGAGAAACGAAAACAACAAATGAGGTTCCTCAAAAAACCAACGTAGTACCACTTGATGATGATGATGTGCGTTATAACGTAAAAGAGTATTGATTTTGAAGTTGCATTATTATTACGACACATGACATCCTATTATTATCTGTGTTGCTCAGAGTACTGATGCTATATTAAAGGAAAGAGTTCGAGAGGGTCGTACCTCGGAGGATGTTGAGGTAGCAACTATGTTAACTAACTTAGGAATGAGAAACTTATCAGAAACATTAATCATTCTGCTACAATAAGAGTTTTCAATGGTTATTGATCAGTGTGCTGTGCGCTTTTTAATCTAATAATATCCGTCATATGCTCGAACTCCAATAAATATTAAGGGATTATAATTAAATCACTTGAGACTTACATTTCTTGGTGTATTTTTGCAGAGTGTCACTGAACATATTCCAAGAGAAACAGGAATTATGGAACCTAAAGTTCATACTTCCACGATTTATTCAGAAGCAGGGGGCTCACAATTTGGTCCATCAACAATAGTAAGTTCACCAAAGTCATGTTAAACTTATAACATGATTTTATACATGTCAGTTCCAAATACCAGCCATTCATCTTTACATGTCAACATCAGCAAGTCTATCCCATGCACCTTATCTCCCTTTACTCTTTTTTTTTTTTTTTTTGGGGGGGGGGGGGAGGAATTTGAATGGTAGACAATGAAAAAGATTTAAGAATTAATGAAGTTAACTTAGTTGACTACTTAGTTAAATATTCTGTTGTGACTCAGATTGATAAGGAAACAGGGAAGGAAATTGGTAAAGACGTTCCTGCTTCAAAGTTACCTGCAGCCAAAACTGCACAAGTTTCCGAGGTGATCAAAATGGTATCTCCAACCCCTTTACGTGTCCAAACGTTGCAAGAAAAAAGAATTGATCAGTGAATAGAAAGATACAAAAAAATTTTACCTTTGGTGTTATTCAGAACTCAAAAGCAGGAAAGGAAGTTGTAGGAACAGCTTCAGAGGCATCAGTGGCTGCCACTTCAAATTCAAAGGTGATCAAAATGGAATCTCTAAGTTCTATCTATTCTTCACATGAGAGAAGTTTCCATGCGTTTTGATGACTAATTTTTTTAGTACATAAAATTGGTGCAAAGGGTTAGGATTGACTCATATGTTCATATTTTATTGACTAAGACCATGCATTTGAATACTATTGTAAATCCCGCCACATGAAAAAAAAATTGGAAGTTTAATATGACCTTTCCAATGGATTTGAACGCGGATCAAGCTTCAAGAACAAATAAGAATGACTTATTTTTGTATATTCATGTATGGTATTATAGTTGGTCATTGAACAACCAATGACTAAACGAAATTTGATAGACCAACTCGCAGTTGGAGAAGCAATATAAAAAATGAAATTCAAATTCCCTATCCACTAGATGTGTTCTTTCATTGTATGCATAATGTTGTAGAACTTTAGAGCATAATTGGAGTTGCAAAATAAGTGGAAGAACAACTTTCTTCATGTTTTTTAGGTTGATGGTTTGAAAGAAACAGCAGAACAAGACTTTCAAGAGCAAGTTAAATCTAAGGAGGGGATGACGATGATGCCAATTCAACAAAAATGTTTAGGGTTAAAGACGCAATCTGGAGTATCATCGGATAATTCTTTAGCCAAAGAATTATCACAAGTAAGTTTGATTATCTTTATAAACCATTGTTTATTACATCTTTGCAAGCCATAATACCAACAACTATACCATTTATCTTAATTCAAACCGCCTTTTATAACCCATGTATCTAAATTTTGCAAGAAAAAGGAATTGATCAGTGAATAAAATGATAAATTCAGTACATTAATGAACTTACTTTATCAAAAAAAAATTTACTTTTGGTGTTATTCAGAACTTAGAAACAGGAAAGGAAGTTGCAGGATTAGCTTCAGAGGCATCGGTGACTGCAGCTTCATCAAATTCAAAGGTGATCAAAATGGCATCTCTAAGCTGTATCTATTCTTCACATGGGAGAAATTTTCATGTGTTTTGATAATCATGTTTTTCCTTTTGGTCAAAAAAAAAAAAAATCATGTTTTTCCGCTTAATCATACTTATGGGAATAATGTGAATTCCATCAAATTCGAGATTTGACGTAGCTTTTAAAAATTGATTTCCTATGTTATATTGCTTGTCAGCACATTCTGGAAATATTAAAAGACATTACAGAAAATTTTCGATTTCAAAGATGTCAACAACGGCAACATTGTTATCACATTCAGAACTTGTACTAAGATGCGGACTAATAAATATTTATGGGAGAAGAATTGACTAGTGCAGGAAGAGATAAAGTATATCCTATGAATTACATGAAATAATAGAGTTGTTTTATGGAATTAATTTTATCTTTTGATCAGAGCTCAAGAACAGGGAAAGAAACTGGGATGCTGGTTGCTTCACAGACAGCAGTGTCCACAATTTCAACAAATTCAGAGGTGAACAAAATGAAATTTCCAAACTCTTATTTACATGAAATGGGGTTCCATGATCTGATCAACATAATCTAACGTATCAACTGTATCCAAAAAACAAAGACATAAATGTTAAGACTAGTAGACCAAACAAAAGGCTCTTGCACTCTTGGAGAAAACCAAGAATTCCTTTTTGTTAATCTATTGGAAAAAGAATTTGCACAAGTTCATAACCTGCTTCTAATTTGCTTAATTCATATTGGGAGAGATGGGCAGACCACCACTCTAACTAAAAAAGCAAACATATTAGTGAATTTAACAGATTAACAACTCGCATATTCAAATATTGATGTTTGTCAGAGTGCTAATAAGGAAGCAGCAAGGGGAAGTGTTGAGACATCACCGATGGCAGCAACTCCATTTGACTCGGTACATCTGATGAGCTTTGACTTATGTTTGCAAACAGAAATGCATTTTTAAGAGATGGAACCAAATAAACTACAATAAATTTTTCACGGTGCTCATGCAGACTGGAGAACAAAAACTGGAGAAGGGCTCAAAACCAAATATTCCTAATGTTATTCCTTCTCTCTATCACCGTAAGTGTCTTTTCTTTTATCTGATGCTTCTAGTTTTTATTTCAATTATCCACCAACTTACTGAGCTATTACAGAATCACCACAAAATGGCACTTCTGGCCCTTCTCCTACGTTGGAGATTCTTGAAATTTTCCAACATGTGGAGTTAAAAGACGGTGAAGCGGCTATACTTGCACAAGCACTTAAGCAATATCCTGAATTATTGTTGCCTCGTGAACAACGGACCCATCGGAGAATAGCATTTTCCTACAGAGTATTAGTTGACATATTGGTCGTGCTAGCTAACAAGACTCCATCTAACATTACAGCACCAGAAAAGTCAACCTTGGACGATAACTTGCGTGAAGCAATTTCTCTTGGGTTCAGCAAAGGTTGGGTTGATTCCGTTCAAGCCAAAGTTTGTGGTGTTCACAGGTCTGATGTCTCATTGGCACAAGAGAAAATTCAAGCCATGGAGGCCGAGCTTGAAACTTGCGAAGTGAACTTGAAGCAAGTTCAAAAAGAAAAGGAAGAAGCCAGAAGACGTCTGGAGATGGCACAGAGCGAGTTTAGGGATATAATAAGTGCTAAGCATAGACCATTTGGCATTTAGGCTGTTTACACTGTGTTTGGTTATTTGGTTTCAAATTCTAAAAGAACCTCAAAACAGTGAACAATAAAAGTTTAATGCCTATTATATATACATTCTCCCTATATATATTCAGCTAAATGATGGGAGTAGGAGGTTTTAATTCTTGTGATGTATTTGAAAGAAATACTCAGCTGACTGTTGTAAGTAGTTGCATTTGAGTTCTTGGTTGGTACTGATGAATTTGCCTTTTCTGTTTTTGGTTCAGATTTGATTGTTGTTAACAGCCTTAGTACTTTAGTTGGAGCTAAGAAATGCCTTATAATAATGTTTGAATATATAAATTACGTTATACTCTCGTTGAGATTGAGATGGTACATATCTAATTTAGACACTTTAATTTTAAATTTTTGTTTTCCAGTTAAAATATTGTTTAAAAATGAAATTCAGCAAATTGCGCAATTTTTAAATTTAGCATTGATGCAACTATTATCATTAATTATAAAATAATGCAGATAGCATACTATGCTAAAATGTCCACATCCAATGACTTTATATTGTGGACGAACATGTGGTTAAGCTTTGGTGGTAAATAATTCATTATATGATATATTAAACTGAAAGTAAGATTATCAGTGATGCATATTTTAACCTTGAAATTAATATCTTCTCTTAGGCTGACATTATATACAACTATGATAAAAAATGATAAATCGAAGTACAGTTTGAATAAGAAATGAAAGAGATTAGCTTGGAAATTTTAAGATTCTAGTAACATTTTTTACTGACGTCTAGGAATCCCTCTGGTCTATAAAAAAACCGTCTTCCTGTAAATGATAATACAAGGGGTTGATGAATTTAGCTCAAATTATGTTATATAAACATCCAAAACAACATGCAGCTTGATGCGCTGGGTAACACTAGCTTGGTAGTCCAAGTAGGGGCAATAAGTTGATGAAACTACCCCAAAAAAAAAAAAAACAGACCAAACCGATAAGGATAACTGAAAAACTAGTGAATTGATTAGTGGTTGTGGTGTGGTTTGGATTGGTTGTTCAATTCTTGAATTGACCAACGGACTGAAACAGTTGATTTTATTTTTTATTATATAGTTCTTAATATCTCAGTCAGATTTGAATAAATTTTAATAATAATTTTGGCATGATAGTTATTAATTTTAATTATTAATCAATCATAAAAATCAAAATTCTCAATATTGTTATACTTAATTATTGTTACAATCAAACTATTATTATATTTTTTTTGTATTTTATTATTAGTGATTATCAATGTTATTCTATTTTGCGATTTTTAATTAAATTATATTATTTTAACATGACTGGTTTAATTTCAAGTTGACTTAATCTCGACTTGACTACAGTCTAACTAATTGACCATTGAATTACTATTTCAACTTATTTAGTGTCCCATTCAGTTTTTTTTAAAAAAAAAATTCCTTGAATGGAACATGGCTTTGGCATCATCTGGTCGATTTGGAGAATTGGAGGATGCGATTCGCGCTGGCCTACCCGTTCTGAGTGGAGAGCCGAGCCAAGAGTTCAGAGCAAAGGCTTTGAGGCTTGTGGTTCCTGGAAGAAAGGGCATGGCACGAGGAAGGACCACAGGCTGCTGCTTCTCCGGCCCACTATGCCTGCTGGGCCTGGTGGCTTGATCCCCCACCTTTCATTCTGGCACTTTGCCAATGCTCTATTTCTGACCTCTGCCATTTTGATCAACATAACACACACAAGGAGAGGGAGACTATTTCTATTATTTGCAACACCAAATTACTGAAACACATATCAGATTGAAAGTAAATAACAATTAAACAGGCAATAAAATTGAGGAGAATCAAGCAAGCAAAAAAAACATATGCACTTAACCAAGCACCAACAAAGAAGAAAAATATGGATAAACCAGCAAAGGTTTTGGACATTTAAGTATATTTTTGCAACGCCAAATTATTGAAACCTATCAGATTGAAAATGATATATGACATGCAACAAAGTCTGAGGCCAAACAGACAAACCTGCATTCAACCTGGGAAAGAGTTCTTTGTCCTTCCCAATATCCTTATTCTCAATAGAATCATTTTCAGCCGCTACTTCGTTTCAATGCAGCTTCAGCAAATAAGATTATAACAGAAAAAGAGAAACATAACCAGTTTTCCTGACAAGTTAGCTTTGTTTTTATTATCATTTCCCATAGAATTCAATTGTTCATGTTAACTGATCCTCACCATACTGTCAAATTTTACTCAAAATAACTGTTTTTCAAACTATAAGATGAGGAGCTTCACACTACACACACACACACACAAAAACAACTATCCTGCTGTTAATTTGCATGAGAGCCGTAATAGGGAATTTAATGTGAAAGGAAATTTGTGGGAAGGTGCTGAAGGACGGCAGAAACATAAAGCGCAACCTTTTGGCCTTATATAATTAAAGCAATTTGTGGTATTGGTATGTACCAAATTTTACGGTGATGGCTCTTTTTTTACTCATTTCTACAATGTCGACATTTTGTGGTATTGGGGCAGTCACGGGACAAATGAAAGCAACACATCAGAACGAGAAAAATGACGAAGTTTGCACAAGCACTAATTGAACTGTCCAAAGAAGCATCACAGCAAAAGTTGTCTGTCTCAGATATTAACACTCTCATAAACAGGCATTTCACCAGCTGGGTCCTTGGGAATCCCTTAATTAGCGACATAACCTGGGTCTCCAAGCATCTAGAACTTTGTACTTGAGTGTGATCTTTCAATTTTTTCATGCAACCATCACAATGCTTAAGAAAGGCATAAGAGAGGTGTTTGGTGTGATTATTTTGCCTGACAGTTTATGAGTTAATACCTTAGTGGGTGGAATAAATGGAAAGTAAGATGAAGCCAGAGACCGTAGGTTCAGCAACCTAAGAAAACATATTTTCATGTTTGTTGTGGTCGTAGCATCCTGCATCCGAATCAAGAGAATCAAGTTTTTTAAGGTTTCCCGCGAAGGGGTCACTGCTTCTCATTATCAGTCTGAGATCTCAATAAAACAGATGCATGGTTGTCGTTGGAATTAAAAAAAAAAAGAGGGAATTGCAATTAGGTTCTAAGAAAAGAATTTAATTACTCTAAAGTCTATTAACAATCAAAAAGCATGTAACGACAAGTTCTAATATAGAAAATGACAATCGATTTATACTGCTTACTTATTATTTGAATTTTTTAGTAATTAAATTCATTTCTCGGAACCTTATAGCAATTCTCTCTAAAAAAAAAAAAAAAAAAAAAGTCACATAATCATGGGCAAAAAGAAGAGCTCACGGTGAGAAGGGCAAAGAGAGAATAATCTTTCTGCGGTTATATATATTATGCCCTTTTGTGCATATTTGTATTAATCCTTTGGATTCCATTTATAAAGAGCTAAGAGTATGTTTGGATTAGCAGTGGCAATGGCAAGAGTAGCTTTTTTTAAATCTGACTTCCGCAAACTAAAGTTAGGGTACAAGTCAGACAGTATAATATGATTTATATTTGGATTGGTTTTTATTACAAAAAAAAAGTTAGTTTGACAAACTAACACTTATTTTGATAATTAATAAAAAGGTAAGTTTAAATGTAAAATGACTAAAAAGAATACAAATTTTATTAACTAATACATATTTAATATTATGTGTACATAATGTGACAACTGTAAAAGAAATATTGAAAATAAAATTATTAAAATATTAAAATTATTTTATTATTAGGAAGAAATTAAAAAAAACTAAAATACTTAATTAAATATATTACATGGATAAATATACCCTCTGAATCAGTTCATATAAATATCTAAAAAATGAATAAAAATTTCATACCAACAGATTTAAATAAGGGTACTGCTCTAAAATCACAACTTCTAATAAAACAAGAACATATAACACTAGAAAAACTCAAAATACTGTAACTTTTCCCCCCTTTTCACCGCCCTGGTATTTTTCCCACTGTGAAAAGCAAGATTCATAGGTTTCATTCCAAAAGTCCATTTGAACCCAAAAGCTAGATTGTAAAAATGGGGCGTCAAACATCACTTTTAACCAAAAAAAAAAAAAAGAGCTTTTGCCTGCCTGTATGCACATTTGAACCCCAAATGTGATCCCAAACAAGCCCTAAATATAGACGGAAAAAAACACTAGCGTGTAGATGTAATAGGAATTGGGTGGTCAAGCAAGGAAAGAATACGAAGGTTAGTATGAGAATCTTCAGCATGACCATCTCCATGTTGGTACATATATTGAGCCATTCTTGCAAGGTTGAGAGCAATTTCTGTGAAACTTTGAGAGAATTCAGAATTATGCACTGCTTCGTTCATCTTCTTCCAAGTTTGGCACATCAAAGTGTAGACATATTCATAAGCCTCTTGTTCAGAAGCTCCAGTTTCGTTCATGTAGCATCTTAGTGACTTGGGAATGTCACTATCAAACCCACCACTTGATGATGACTTTGATGAAGCATCACTATTAATAATCTTGTGTGATGCAAGGTCATTGGCAAGTCGTACAATAGTGGAAGAAAGGCGAATAATATTGGGGTATTCTTTTAAATACTCCAGATCCTGGGGCCTAATTGAATCTGGAATCTGCAGAAAGTAACCTTGAACTAGAGCCACAGCCCCTCCCACTGAAATCCATGCATTATCTAAATATTCTTGCATGCTTGGCACGTGCCCATTGTTGTACCACCTTGCTTCTATCAGATATGATTCACAGAGATCGCCCCACTTGAAAAATTAAACAAACACACACGATCATTACATTATTCTGAAAATTTTAAGATTTGAATCTTGAATATATATATATATATATATATATATATATATATGCCTACCGCTTTCTTGAGGTAAGGGATGATGTCGATGCCTGTATGTTTGAGGATGGCAAAAGCTACCTCATTGACAGAATTATAGAGTGCAAGAAAACATATTTTCATGTAACTTGGAAGAGTGTGCATTGCATGTATATCCCATCTACAATCGACAAAAGTATATTACATTATTGGAGATGATGTGGACAAGGAGCTATCTATATATGTATATGTATGTCTATATACATATATACAGATGATGTATTAATTAAGAATATATGCTGACCTGTGGACCACATGAGTGAAGAGTTCAAGTTCTTGCAATGTGCCATAAACGTCATAAATATCATCTATGATCGTTATGAAGGAAGTGATCTTAGTCATCTCTCTTCTGAAATATGAAAGCTCAGGTTGGGAAGCCATTCCCACACCCCAAAAGAAGTTTTCCATTGGCATGTCCCTTACAAAGCTCAGCTTTTCTCCATCTCTCATTTCTTTCCACCATCTTCAAAGTAGAAATTAGATATCTTCAGTTATGTAATTAAGTAGTAGCAGAAAACATAAAAGTATACGAAAGATAAAACCTGCACAATTCATTGTCTAACTATATGTAATATATTTTCTCAGTTTGTCGTGTTATTCAAAACTGGTAAACAATATGACTTCCTATAGAATTATTGGATATATAAATAATTTGGCTAAAAAAAGAAAAGACAGAATTAGTTTGTTTCGTTTACTTTGATGTATATTTTAAGTCTTGTTGATGGGTGACTTGGACAACATTGAAATCCAAACGAGCAAGCTTAAGCAAGGCAGGGGTCACATCATTGCTTTTCTGGTATAAGTCAATGAACCATGGAGCTTCAAGTCTGGGAATCCTCCAGTGTAGGGGAATCTCCAGTGCATGACTGATCATTGCTGATATATCATCACTATCTTTCTCCTCCTTCTTCACAAATTGTTTCAGATAATTACTGCAAAAATCTCTAACTTCCTCAAGTATAGTTTCACCTTCCATTGAATGAAACGATGCTTCGTACAATGATAGAATTCCCTTTGTATCATCCAAATCAAAATTCCCTTTCTCATCTTGAAAACTTCTAAAAACCTCTGTGAAAAAAGCAGTACATGCATGTTAGAGATTCATTAGTCAATACTAAAAATCAGTACAGTTTGATTTGGTATGCCTTTTTTCTTTCCAGTGAAAGCTACAATACTGTAGACACTAAAGACCTGAGGTTACAAGTGAAATCAAACCCGCAACCTCCTAGGGGGAGTTTTATGCAGCTAAGTTATAAGGCTACTGTAATATAAAGGCATTTAATTTCAACAGTATTTGTTTTACCGTAGTAAAATTAGAACAAATTACCATACTCTTACACACTAAACGTCTTCCCTAACCAACACAGAAAGTTTTGCTTGCAATAGTGACGTGTTGCAAGAAGAGATATAGATATGTGCATTGTACATTGAGTAGATAGGCAAATGTCTTATGTCAAGTGGGGCCCATCCACCTGCAAATATCTTTCTTCTTATAGCATCATGGTGCTGTAAATAAAAGAATTCGGGTCCAAGTTAGTAGTACCTGATGACACATCAAATCCATGTTGCCTTAAGATTCGGAATTGAAGAGCAATGGTGTGTAAGTCATCAGACTTAGTTTTCAATCTGTCTTCATAATTCTGGGCGTACACATGTTGCAGCATGTCTCTTATTTCATGGACGAAATGGTGAGACACTCCCAGCTTTTGCAACCCATCTGTGAATTCAAGTTTGTCCAAATCATTTGTGAGTTGGGAAATCATCTTTCTAACTTGCGCTTTCAGTTCATCTCTTTCTTCTGCATATGATTCTTTCTGCACAGAAAACGAAAACAGGTTAATTATGAAGGACAAGAATTATTATAAGAAGTTAGGAAAAATGAAGAGATTATTAGAAGTCGGAAATATATGTACCCCATATTCACTAGTGATTGACTGGATATGTTCATAACTCCAACTTGAAGGTTGATAATTTGCAGATCGGCGAAGATTGGCGTTGTTTTGATCAGAAACGAAATGAAGAGTAGTAGAGGAAGTATTACATTTAACAGCGAACACTGAGGATTTTGTTTTTGATGGCGAGAGCACTTTGAAGAGACTGCAATTTGGGAATGAGGCTAGTCTCGGAAGAGCCATCAGTTCTTAGTCTCAGACGAAAAGCCTTGGCTTCAAAGCTCAAGAGTTATATACGTGTGCGTGCATATAGAAAGAGAGAGAGAACATGATTTATATACTCCTTCCGTTACTTTTTTATAAGAGCCTCATAACTAAAAACTAAACAATCTTATAAAACAGTTAAAATTAATTAAAAATAATAAATAAGTAAGAAATGAATTTTTTTTTTCAAGTTTGCCCTTATTTATAAGGGGCAAGTAAGAAAAAGCAGGAGAATAATAGTGAGAGAAAGTATGAAAAGGAGGGTAGTATGTCAAGTTATCAACTTTTTAATTAATACAATATATAAAATTTATTAGGGGCAAAAATAGTAAAGGATCAAGGAAATTCAAATTTCATGCTCTTATAAAAAAGATCGAAATGGAATATATATATATTCCACCTCTAAGTTTGTAAATTACAAATGAGATTTTATAATTAGAACCAGTATCAAATTCGTGAACAAGTTGCCATAAGTTGTTAAAAAGAAAGAAATGTACGATGTGGTCATCAATAAGTTAAGTGGATACACTCTTGACGCTAGCCAGATACTTTTAAAATTTAGGTATTATTAAAATATACGGAGAGATAAAAAAAGTTTGCTAAATGCCATGCAAATCGTGGGACTCTCGTGTTCTCAAATTTTATTCAGGTAAAACAAAAAAAGAGTTTTTAGATTTTAGATTTTATTCATTTCCACGTGCCACACGAGTAATTTCAAACGATGATTTTGTCGGGGCCGTGAGGTGGACAGCAGAATCAAAGAAAACAAGCTTCAGATTCATTACCGCAAATGCTTTATATTTGGTTATATTTCAGAATTTTCACATCATTGTATATTTATTAATTTTAGATAATGAAAAAAAAAACCATAATGAAAATCTTAATACATTCATATACTTTTGATATTATTTCTTTTTTATCTTTTTGTGCTTTTAATCTATTTGCCCATAACCCATGAAAACTCTGTTAATACCACGTCGGCTTCAAATTATAAGCATTAAATAGTTAACTAAATTACGCAACTCAAAAAGTTGCTTAAAATTGGTTAAATTTAATAAATAAATAAAATATAACTTATCTTTCTATAATATTCCTATTTATGGAGAGAATAAGTGGGAGGGAGAATGAGTTAAGAAAATAATGAGAGAAAATGAGTGGAAAAGAAAAAGGATGAGAGAGACATATACCTAATTCACGATAAAAATAAAAAATATATATTAAATGATCAGAAAAATACAAATTAATACTAAAAAAAACCCTTCAAAGATCTAATGCTTATTACATTTTGAATCAAAGCTAGTAGCATAATATTCTTCTTATAAACTAATTTATAAATTTATATACAATCTAATGCTATATAAAGATATTTTACTCATCAAATCATATCACATTCATTATAATTAACAAGTTTATTTGTCTTTTTTATTCCACTCAAACTGAAGAATCTCAGAGCAATTAAAAAGCACCTTTCATCATGAACAAGAAGCTTGGTGGTTGAAGGGATCAGGCTCAAGTTGGCAATCCACCGGACAAAACATGGCGGAATTTTGGCTGCTCTTGGAAGCCATCTCACCGAATAGATCTAATCTGACCTGATCCACAAGATTCATCACCAGCCACCTTCACCACAAGCCCCATCCCCCCGGGATCCACATCACCTTAATCCCACACTCGGGTAACCACCCAGCGTTAGCTAGAGTCAGGAAAACAGGCCGAGTCTATTGGACCGGTCAGTTTATACTCAAAAATTGAGGACTGGATTTGAAAATTTTCTTTTGAAATGAGAAACAGGCTTAAAAGGATTGACCTTGTAGAGTCGAAAACTTAAATGGGCCGGCCCATTTATGCTTTTTTATAATTTTTTTTGTTTTTCTAAATTTTTGTGTAATTATAATATTATTAAATTTTTTACATTGTTAATGATATTTTGAATATTTAGTTATTATTATCATTTTAAATTTAAATTTTACAGAATGGTTTGATTTATTTAGTTTTAGACGGGAATTTGTCCAATTAAATTTTTAAAAAATAGGTTAATTTGGACTTTAATAATGATTTCATTTATATTATATGTGTTGATATTTTTAAACTATATATATTTGATAAGAAAGTATTTTTATACTTATATAACTTATGATTCTGTAATTTGAATTGGAAATTTACAAGTTTCAATAACAATGTTTCTTAAACTAAAGTAAAATAATAGCTAGACTGTAAAATTTAAAAGTAAAATTCCTATAAAGAAGAGAAACTTGATATTTTTACTATGAAAGAAAAACATACTTATGAAGAAGAGTAATTAAGTATAGTGATGATAAATTTCAAAAGATTAATGATAGTGTTTATTTATTACACGTTTGCACTATAGATGAAACTTTTAAATGTTGTTATCTTGTTGATGAATGTTTTATATATTCTTAGGCGTTGATTGATATTTATATATATATGATATTTTATATTTTATTCATATTTATGTCTTTTATTAATAATTTTATCGATTTATTTTCATATTTTTTTAGAAAAATTTATGAGAAATATGAAAAATAATTTTTTTTAAAAAGGCCGAAAGCCTGTTGGCAAGTCCTGAACTCATTAGTTTAAGGGTTAAACCTAGCAAATTAAGATATTTTTAAAATTTTGACTCTATATAACCGACCTTTTTAAAGTTGTCAGCCCTGCCAGGTTAGTCCGTATTTCCACCTCTGGCAGTACCTAGTCCAGCTTCTTGTGTTGAGATGGCTAATTAGGCGTTTTATACACTGCATGTTTTATCTTGAATTATACGATGTGGACCTCTAAATTACCTTTATGTTTAATTTCTAATCAACCATAAGAAATTTTCTGGCATGAAATATTAACTTTCGACTTTTTTACCAGTATACTATAAAAAGTAAAAATATATACTAAGATATTGTAATTTTAAAAGTATTTACCAATATACTATATTTAAAATCGTTCTTCAGGTTAATTTTCAAAGTTGTCCTTCTAATGAATGATTTCTTTAGAATAAGCATCAATGTGCGTGAAGTGACTGAAAATCGTTCTTCTGGTGAAGGATTGCAAAACTTCATCTCCTACTAAACGACTTCTCACCTTCTCTCCTAATAAATGAAAATAAAATGATCATTATAATGATTTATCAAGCATTTGAATGAAAAATCATGACTAAATAATGGGGGAAAAAGTGTTGATAATTACATAATACTCCTCCGGTCTTTAATATAAGACCCATTTAACTAATTTGATTAGATTAGATTAAGGAAGTTAGGTAAATTAGTTAATTATAAGAAAAGTGACATATTTTTTCTCCAACACCATAATCATATTTCTTAACACCCCCTCTCCCTCTTCTACTTGATTATGATTGAAGGAGTATCCATAGGAGTAATTTAGAGAAAATTGACAAATATGAGAAATGGGTATTATCTTTAGAACCAAAACCAACTCAAAAATTAGGTCCTATATTAAGGACCGGAAGAGTAATATTAAAACTAATTGTGAAATGAGTATAAGATGTATATTGAATAAAAAAAAAGTAATAATTATTTTATTATAACAAATAATAAATAAAATTTAAGTTTATAAGGAAAAAATTATCCACCTTACTGATAGTGACTTCCAATATGACATCTTGCCCTCCTTCTCAGACATTGTGGCCATTGCTGTATGTCAACTTTTTGAGATTCAAGTGTCTTATTTGTTTACGTAGTTAGCGTGTTTGAATCAAACTAAGGTGATTCATTTAAATGTATAGATTGTCGATGAGTGACAAATGCTTATTTGATGATTCAACATGTTCAAAAGTAAAAGCATTATATTTAGCTAAAAATATTGTAGGATTATCTAATAAAATCATGATGATGAGGGTACCATATAATGAGACTCAAGTTGTGTAGGATCGATAGAGATGAGGAGGGATAGAGATGAGGAGGGATGATGGTGAGGGTGATGTGTCAAAAGCTTAAGTAAAAATTGGAGATTCATGTTCGCTTGCATTTTCATTTTCATTTATTACAAAGATTTATAAATATATTTAGTTAAATATATATTTATTAAAAAAATTAGTTAAAGTTTTAATCAAATCTTTTATGGTTGCCTCAACTAAATGAAATTGATGTAACTATAAAAGTATAATTTAGGAATTTCTTAAAATGAGGAGTAAAAGAGTAAATAAATTTAATTTTAATATAAATTTTAGTTAAAAATAATATTTTTAGAATATTTCTAACGGTGTTAACTAATTGAACCAAACTATATGTTTTTAAAATAGAGGAACAATCTATGTAATTGATGCAAACTAGAAGAATAGTTAGATTATTTTACTCTTGATTCAAAACACTAATGTAGTGACATGTTATCACTGATTCAAAAATGCAACATAGCAAATAGCAAGGAAAAGGCAAAATGAAAAAAAAGAAATTATGAGTGCCTTTCATTCATTTCAATTTTTCATTACTTACACCTTATTTTTACCTAAAAAATATATGAAAGTAATAGTTCACTTGAAGTTGGTAGAACACTTTCTTTCTTTCTTTTTTCACCAACTTAATATATACTACATATTTGATATTTAGGGTGTACATATAATTATTTTTCAGTTTTATCTTACCAAATTAAACTCCTGAAGAAGTATACTTTCATAAGACAAAATAATAATCATATACTAAAAAAAGATTTGAGCTTATATCAAAATTTTAACATTTTAATACAATATAATAGATGATAGTTTTAGCGTCAAAATAAGAGGCATCTAGTTTTTTTTTTTTTTGAGTTACAGGGGGCGGAATCAAACTCGCAACGCACACACCCCACACACACACACACCCCACTCGGCCAAACGGCCATTGGTAGAGGTACCTGGTTTAGAAAGAGTACTAATATTCCTGATTGTTGAAACCACTACTCACCTTCTGAAAATTAGAATAATGAATTATTAGCTCATCAAAGATAGTATGGATGAAAAATCAAATTCTATATCACAGCTGCAAATTTTTTTTAAAAAAAAAACAAGAAGAGAAACAACATACCTACAGTAGCAGTAAAAGAGCTTGTCAGGAGTGCAAAAATAAAAAAGCAAGAGAATAATGAAAATAGAACAAGTGAACCATCAAGGGGAGGAAAAAGAAGAAAAAGAAGAGAGAGCTCCGAGATGAAAGGAGATGAAGCAGAAAACAAAAACTAAACATGTAAATATATAAAAGCACATAGATTGCTGTGACCTCATGGGTTTGCATGGAAAGAAAGAATTGAGTTGACAACTAAGAGAAGTAAGCATTGGGAAGAAAATAGTAGAAAGATTCTCGCGTGGGGAAGTAATAGTAAAAAAAATAAAATTGTTCTTGAACGATTTCACTTTTTGATTTAAAAAAAATAAAATGTTAAAAAGTAAAATCATTCATGCCAACAATGATTTTACTCTTTATCAGATAACATACAAATCATTCTCGTATTGTTCTTGACAAAAATGACTTGTGTATAATTTAAAAATCGTTCTTATCAATAAAAATTTTAGTTGTAGCATATTGATAAATACTTTTGAAATAGCAGCATTTTTGTATATATTTTTACTTTTTGTAGCCTGCCGGTAAAAAAGCCATTAACTTTCTGTGCTGGAAACAGTGCGTGGAGATGACGGAAGGAGATTGGATAGCAGAGAAAAATTACGAGGAACGGTCCGAGTAACCTAATGATCTCAGCAGATGCCTGAATACTTTTTTTTTCCCAACCTGATAATAGAGATTTTCATTAATAAAAATACACAGCCCAAAAGGGGTCCAATGAAAAAAGTGCAACAAACTAACAGCCCAATAACAAAAACGCTAACCCTAACAACAATGCCAAGGAAGCAAAGGCGGTCAACGAGCCCTTTTTACCAAAAGCGTACATCCAAGTCATTAAGTGTCCGTTTAAAATAATTTATAAATAATTTTTTAATTATCATTTATAAAATACAAGAAAAATATATGAAAAGAATTTTGTCTTAATTTACACAAAACGTGCTTATAAACACTTTTCAAAGTGATTCCAAACAGGCTCTAAGTCAGGATTTACAAAATCACCATCAAAGCAAGCAGTGCCAGACATCACAGACTTGTTTATTGCCAGATAGAAAGAGAAGATCGCTACAAAAGACCCATCACCACAGAAAGAGAAGAACAGAACAAAACAAAAGACGGACGTCCCCTCCGCTAGCGGAAGGCGCTGGGGAGAGAGACGCCGTGACTGCCACTCGTGCAAAAACGAGAGAAAGTGAGTTCTCACTGCCTGAAGAAATTTCTGGAGAGGGAGAGGGAAGAGCTCGCCCCAAAGGCGAGAGAAAACATCATCAGCCTCTCAAATCCAGATTTCTGAATGTGTGAACAACAAAGGTTCACTTGCAATCAAGGGTGTTGATATTTTTTAGTAGTTACATATACGTATTGCAGGCAGCTAAAATAGCTAAACGCCAAGACAAACCTCATGCTTGTTTGAATTAATGTTTGCAAACTGTAGTTGAATAAAAGCCAATTAATTAAATGTAACTTATCTAGATAAGTTTTTATAAAGAAATCAATTTCTCATAAATTTGTTTGAATGATATATTGAAAAATTAATTTCAGAATATTCAAATCTGGGGCCCAAAAAAAAAACCAATGGTTTGACATTAATATTCAAAAGTCCAATAAATTCCTTTTAAAAAAGATTATAATAGAAAAAGAGAAACATAACCAGTTTTTCTGACAAGTTAGCTTTGTCTTTATTATCATTTCCCATAGACTTCAATTGTTCTAAGTAACTGATCCTCACCATACTGTCAAATTTTACTCAAAATAAGTGTTTTTCAAACTATAAGATGAGGAGATTCATACTACACGCACACAGAGACACACTATCCTGCTGTGAATTTGCATGAGAAAGCCTTAATAGGGAACTTAATATGAAAGGAAAGTTGTGGGAAGGTGCTGAAGGACGGCAGAAACATAAAGGGCAACCTTTTGGCCTTGTATAATTAAAGCAATTTGTGGTATTGGTATGTACCAAATTTCATGGTGATAGCTCTTCTTTGGACTCATTTCTACAATGTCGACATTTTGCAATTTGTGGTATTGGTATGTACCAAATTTCATGGTGATAGCTCTTCTTTGGACTCATTTCTACAATGTCCACATTTTCATATGCGATTTACGACCACAGATACCTGGGGGCGGTCACAGGACAAATGAAAGCAACACAACAGAACGAGAAAAATGACAAAGTTTGTACAAGGAATAATTGAACTGTCCAAAGAACCAACACAGCAAAAGTTGTCTTTCTCAGATATGAACACTCTCCTAGACACACACTTCACCACCTGGGTCCTTGGGAATCCCTTAATTAGCGATATAACCTGGGTCCCCAAGCATCTAGAACTTTGTACTTGAGTGTGATCTTTCAATTTTTTCATGCAACCATCGCAAGGCTTAGGAAAGGCTTAAGAGAGGTGTTTGGTGTGATTAGGCTTCTTGACAATTTATGAGTTGATACCTTGGTGGAATAAATGGGAAGTAAGATGAAGCCAAAGACCGTAGGTTCAATAACCTAAGAAAACATATTTTTATGTTTGTTGTGGTCGTAGCATCCTGCATCCGAATCAAGAGAATCAAGTTTTTGGAGGTTTCCCGTGAAGGGGTCATTGCTTTTCATTATCAGTCCGAGATCTCAATAAAACAAATGCATGGTTTTCGTTGGAATAAAAAAAAGGAGCAATTGGAATCGGGTCCCAAGAAAAGGATTTAATTACTCTAAAGTCTGTTGACAACTAAAAAGCATACAATAACAATTTCTAGTGTAAGAAATGACAACTGATTTATACTGCTCACTTATCATTTAAACTTTTTTAGTAATTAAATTCCTTTCTTATGAGCTTATAGTAATTCTCCCTCAAAAAACAACATATAAAAAGTCACATAATCATAGAAAAAGGAAGAGCTCACGGGGAGAAGGACAAAGAGAGAATAATGTTTCTACAGTTCTATATATTATGCCCTTTTGTCTATATTAATCCTTTGGATCCCATTTATTAAAAAAAAAAGGGTGTGTTTGGATTACGTGTAACAGAAGTAGTTTTTTTCCAATCTCAGTTATGCAAACTGAAGTTGGGATAGAAGTCAGATAGTGTAATGTGATTCATGTTTGAATTAGCGTTTGTAAAAAAATCAGCTTAATAAACTAAAATTGTTTTGATGATTAATAGAAAAAGTAAATTTAAATGTAAAATGATTGAAAAGAACATGAATTTTACTAAGCAATACATATTTAATATTGTATGTATATAATATGACAATTGTAAAAGAAATATTGAAAATAAAATTATTAACATATTAAAATTAATTTATTATTAGGAAGAAATTAAAAATACTAAAATACTTAATTAAATATATTACATGGATAAGTATACCCTCTAAATCAGTTCATATAAACATCTAAGAAATGAACAAAAATTTCATATCAACAGATTTAAATAAAGTTGCTACTCTAAAATCACAACTACTAATTAAACAAGAACACATACCCCATTTTAGTGCACTAGTATTCTTCCCACTGTGAAAAGCAAGATCGATCAGTTTCATTCCAAAAGTTCATTTGAACCCAAAAACCAAATTGCAAAAATAGTGTGCCAATCATCACTTTTAACAAAAAAGAAGCTTTTGCCGGTTGAGATGCATCTTTGAGCCCCAAACATGATCCCAAACAGGCCCCAAATATAGACGCAAAAAGAAAAACACTAGCATGTAGATGTAATAGGAATTAGGTGTTCAAGCAAGGAAAGAATACGAAGGCTAGTATGAGAATCGTCAGCATAACCATCTCCATGTTGGCACATATCTCGAGCCATTCTTGCAAGGTTGAGAGCAATTTTTATGAAACCCGGAGAGAATTCAGAATTATGCACTGCTTCCTTCATCTTCTTCCAAGTTTGGCATATCAAGGTGAAGGCATATTCATACGCCTCGATCTTGTTCAGAAGTTCCAGTTTCATTCATGTTTTAGTGACTTGGGAATGTCACCATCAAACTCACCACTTGATGATTTTGATGAAACATCCCTATTAGTAATCTTGTATGCTGCAAGGTCAATAGCAAATCGTGCAATGGTGGAAGAAAGGCGAATAATATAGGGGTATTCTTGTAAATACTCAAAATCCTGTGGCCTGATTGAATCATATTGAATCTGCAGAAAGTAAACTTGAACCAGAGCCACAGCCCCTCCCACTGAAATCCATGCATTATCTATATATTCCTGCATGCTTGGCACGTGCCCACTGAAATCCACGAATCTGTCAGATTTGATTCACAGATATCACCCCACTGGAAAAATTAAAAAAACACACATGATCATTACAATATATTCTGAAAATTTTAAGATTTGAATCTTGAATCATATATATATATATATATGCATACCACTTTAGGGATGATGTTGATGCCTGTATGTTTGAGGATGGCAAAAGCGACGTCATTGACAGAATTATAAAGTGCAAGAAAACATATTTTCATGTAACTTGCAAACGTACGTGTGCATTGCATGTATGTCCTAGCTACAATCAACACAATATATTACATGATTGAAGATGCGAAGAGAAGCTCTATATATACACAGACACTCTTCCGATCCTTAATATAAGACTTAAATAACTAATTTGAATATATTAAAGATGTTAATTAAATTAGTAGATGTGATATTTTTTTTTAAAACACCTTAAGCATCTTTCTTAATTTCTTTCCCTCTTCTATTTCATTATTGTTAAGAGAATATCAATGGGATTAATTTGAGAAAAAATTGATAAACATGTGAAATAGGTCTTATATTTAGGATCAACGTCAACTTATCAATTAGGTCCTATATTAAGGATTGAAGGAGTAGTAGTTAATTAGATTAATATGCTGACTTGTGGACCACATGAGTGAAGAGTTCAAGTTCTTGCAATGTGCCATAAACATCATAAATATCATCGATGATGTTTATGAAGGAAGTGATCTTGGTCATCTCTCTTCTGAAATATGAAAGCTCTGGTTGGGAACCCATTCCCACACCCCAAAAGAAGTTTTTGGTTGGCATGTCCCTTACAAAGCTCAGCTTTTCTCCATCTCTCATTTCTTTCCACCATCTTCATTGTTTAATTTATACATAAAGTCAAGCACCACCATAAGTATTTACTTCTGTTCTTATTGAAAAACAAAAGCTTTTAATGATGATAAAATACACCTTTTGGAGTCATGCAAGCATGTAATTGTCTGGTTTTACTTTTTTTTGGTGCAAAAACAAAGTTTTTAATTCCCATAGTTGTGGTAAACATCAGTCTCACATCAATAACACCTCTCTGTTTTCTTTACCTTGATATATATTTTAAGTCTCCTTGGTGGGTGACTTGGACTACATTCAAATCCAAACGAGCAAGCTTAAGCAAGGCAGGGCTCACATTATTTCTTCTTTGGTACAAGTCAATGAACCATGGAGCTTCAAGTCTGGGTATCCTCCATCGTAGGGGAAGCTCCAACACATGACTTATCATTACTGATATCTCACTATCTTTCTTCTCCTTCTTCACAAATTGTTTCAGATAATTACTGCAAAAATCTCTTGCTTCCTCAAGTATAGTTTCACTTTCCATTGAATGAAACGATGCTTCATACAGTGATAGAATCCCCTTTATATCATCCAAATCAAAATTCCCCTTCTCATCTTGAAAACTTTTGAATATCTCTGTGAAAAAAGCAATACATGCATGTTATAGATTTATTAGTCAATACTAAAAGTCAGTACAGTTTGATTTGGTATGGTTTTTTCCCTCTCCAATGCAGCTACAATATTGTAGACACTAAAGATCTCTGCAACCTCCTACATACATGGGAGCTTTTATGCCATTAAGTTATAAGGCTATTCTAATATAAGGTCGTTTAATTTTTACATTATCTGTTTTACCGAACTAAAATTAGAACAAATTACCACACTCTTATGCACTAAAAGTCTTTCCTAACCAACACAGAAAGTTTTGCTTGCAATAGTGATATTGCAAGAAGAGATATAGATATATGTGTATTGTGCAGATGGGCAAATGTCTGATGTCAAGTGGGGCTCATTTACTTTAGGCATCTATCTTTCTTCTTACAACATCATGGTGCAATGAATTAAAGAACCGGATTGGCCGATTCAAACCAGAAACCAATGAACTAGTCAGTAGTCCGGTCTAGTTTAACAATAAAAGCGGAGGAAAATTGAACCGGAAAGAACCGGTGCAAACCGGTCACAACCGGCCCACCTGTTGGTTTAGATGGTTTAGCCGGGTTGTTTGAAAGAAAAAGAAGAAGAAGAACCTGAGACTATTTCATGCGCACAAACAAAAAATATTGACTGAAGAAGAAGAAAAATAGAAATAAAAGAAAGATGACCGTTTTCTTCAGTTACTACGTTTCTGCATGTTTGCTCTATAAATAAAAATAAAATTTATTTCATCCTGGCTCTGCAAATACATTTGAATGAAGGTAAGGGAGGATGGAGGTATGAAAACGAAAGAAAGAAGAGGGGAACATCTGAATGAAGAAGAAAGAAATACTGAAATAGAGAGAAGAATGAGAACAAGAGAGAAAGCTACCAGAGCATGTGAATGCCTAACCCATCCCACACAAGATATAAAAATATTGAATAATGAAAGAAAATGATACAAAAATATGAAGTGGTTCAAACGGAGAAGCAGATCTTGAAAGATGTGAACACTTGAAACTGAAAGAGGTGAATAAAAAATTAGATTTCCCATGCAGTTCAAGTGTCCCACGCAAAATCACCCTACAGGAATAGATGGATTTAGCTAATAAGTACTTGTATCATATTATTTACTACATATATAATTTCTTAAATATATCTTTTATTTTATACATTTTTCTTCATATCTTTATTTTAATTTCTATTCAAAATAGCTAATATATAATTTAAAACATAACATTTTAATTATTACCGATTTGATTAGGGGTTAGCCAGGATCTGACCCATTAACTCTTAACCCAGTATCTTGACCGATTTAATTATCAGTCTGGTTTTTTGTTCCTTGTCAGGGTGTTGCAAATAAAAGAATTAGGTTCCAACTTAGTAGTACCTGATGACACATCATATCCACCTTAAGTATCTATCTTTCTTTTTTTCTTTTTTCTTTTTTTTTTTTGCTATGAATAAGCATCTTCCCACTAGGAGAAATCCTATTAGAAGCATTATTAAACAAAAGAATTAGGATCTAGTTTATAGTACATGCCTGATGACACATCAAATCCGCGTTGCCTTAAGATTCTAAATTGAAGAGCAATGGTGTGAAAGTCATCAGACTTGGTTTTAAATCTGCCTTTAGAACTCTTGGCGGACATGTTTCTTATTTCATGGACGAAATGGTGAGACACTCCCAGCTTTTGCGGCACATCTATGAATTCAAGCTTGTCCAAATGATTTGTGAGTTGCGAAATCATCATTCTAGTTTGCGCTTTCAGTTCATCTTTCTTCCGCATATGATTCCTTCTTCACAACAAATAAAAACATTTAATTTTCCTGCAATGAAATCCAAGATAATATAATGTCCAATATTCTAAAAATCATTCAGTTAAAATAAATCATAAAAATATGATATTTTTGCTCTTTTTAGTAGTATTTTCATCAAATTACATTTAATTCAAATTAATCATAATAAGTGCAATTAAGCCCAATAAATATGATAAAATCCTAAAAAAAGATTAAAAAATCATAATAAAATAAGGACTCATAAGAAACATTAACAACTAAAGGTGTTATTAATTTCATAATTTGAATTCAGTTATACTTAACTTAAAATATAACTATTTTATGTTATTATAACACGTTATAACCAAAACGTATTATTGAAATTTATGTTAATTAAATGACATACATAAGCATATTCATATAAGCATATAAATTGACAAGGGACAGTGATATCGTTAATAAGTCACACTGCCACTATTAACAAGTTATGATGTTATTAATGACAATGCTATAATTGATAAGTTACACTGCCACTATTAACAAGTAATAATACAACTATTGACACGTGAAAGTATAACTAATGACAAGTGATTTTACAATTTTATGTCACTAATAATTGGCTTTTGGTAACAATTTTATATGACACTATAACCAAAATATATTAGTGTAGAGAAATTGATGATATCATAAGATATTATGTATAACTTGAAATAACATTTTTTTGACTTATATCAATAGATAAATTGTTGAGTAAAAGTGCCATCATTGAGAAATTGTATTGTCACCATTAACAAGTGAATGTGTGGTTAATAATAAGTGACTTTATAATGTTACATCAATAATAATTTACTTTTAATAATAATTTTATATCATATTTTAACTAAAATGTATTAATGCAGAGGAAGTGACTTGTCATTGGCTTGCATATAAATATATTACTTATCTCCTTTTATTTGACTATCTCCTTCTGATATAAAAGGAGCTGTCAATTATGGCACCTTTACTTGTCAATGTGAGCACCTTAACCGATCAATGAAAGTACTCTTAGTTGTTAATTTTCTTGCTGCTAAAAATCTAATATAAATTAAAGTTGGTGTCCTCAATTGTCAATTCCGGCATGTTAACTTCTTAATACAAACACTTTTACTTGTCAATTTATAGCAAAGCCTTCTTTACCCCAAAAAAAAAAGGAAAAAGAAAAGAGCCAATACACATAAATGAGATAACAGCCTTCATTTACCACTAAAATTAAGTCAATACAAATGAACTAAATGAATATGCCATTATATTGATTGTCAAATAAGTTACAAGGAATGATATATATCTATTTGTACATTTTTCTCCTTCTCTTGGCTTGGCTTGTCATTGAAGTTACATATAAGCTATTTCTTATTTATAAAAAAGGCCATACACAAGTTAGGCATTCCTGTTATATACTCTTAGACTCTATACATCTATCTTGTCCCTTTGCTTTCATGTCGGGATCATTAAGGTATAACTCCTTCAATTCATCACCCATGCTTCAATATAACCTTTTAACTCTTTTCTCTAAAGTTCTTTCATGTCAGGATCATGCAAGATCATTGCAATCAATAATAGACCATGCATGGGGAGGTTGCTATGCGTTGCGAGTGAAATCTTTTCCAGTTGGCTTCCGTAGCAGCAGATTGCTCCTTATCGGTGTACAGAGCACTGTCACAGACAATCACGTAAATAAAAAACAGAAAGAAATATAATAATCAAAAGTATAAAATAAACATGTAAAATAAGCATATAAGGCCAGAAATATGCTTGTATGCTATAATGATGTGAGAAAAAGCACATTTCTTCTTCGGGTTATTCAAAGCACATATTTCATAAACTAAAATTCTATAATGATGTAACTCTATTTATGTGAACCACCTGATATTGACAAAAAATATATGATTGTATGCTAGAGACGCATGAGAAAGAACACTAAGCAAACTAAGAAATTTAGATTAATTAATTCTATTGATTAAGTTTTTATATTATGATATTTATTATATCCCAGGACTAGATACGGATATTATGTTCTATAAGAATCTTTTATCATACCTTACCTATTTTAAAAGAATAAATATAAGATATTAAGACTAGATTTGATTAGATAAGATCCTAAGTTTAGCTTATTAGTTTATCATTTGCCCACATAAAGGCTTATTCATATTCTTATCGATTCAAGGATTAATAATAACTCAAAGGCCCTATTTTCCCTCTATCTCCAATACTTCAAATTCTACAAACTCTATGATCGCAACTTTACCGCACAAATTACACATCTATATGTGTATACACATATATAAAGCATCATTGCAAAATTCCTAACATTCATTAAAGACTATCATAATGCATATAGTTGTCTAATTAAACACGTAGCTAGTCATATGTGAATGTTGTGCATTGCTAACAGAGATATTGTTCAATGTCTTGTAAAATAGATTCAGATATTATTTGATGTCTTGCAAAATGCATTCAGATGTTATTCATTTCTTTGGGAATACAGCCAACAGAATCGCATTAAACTACATAGACAAGCCATTCATAATCTCTTTTGAAATATTAAGAACATATCTCTTATTAGTAGACATCCAACAAATAAAAACCACATTGAACCTCGTTATGCTAATGCAAATTCATTGTCGACCAAAGAAAATTTCAAAAGAAAAAATAAAAGAGTTTGCCTCAATGAAAGAGAAGGAATACATTACCAAAAATCAAAGATTCTTCAACAGATGAACAAAGTGAGGAGATTCACTACAACTACATTGACCTTCAACAATAAGGGCGATGAGGACGGCTTTCAACAACTCCGGTGATGATTAAGAGAATTTTGGCTAGTTGCTTCAGATGAGAATATGTTCTTGTGATGAGAGAAGTAATTGAGCGATTTAAAACAGGAATAGGGTTTCAAAATTGCAAGACATTTAGTGTGTATTAGTAAGGGCAATGGGGTTCTTTCACAATTAACTCAATTGCAATTAATAAGTCCCTTTGGGACTTCAGATCAATTTGCAAGTTTCATGGGATTTTTTTTGTAATATTTTGTGTTTTTTGAAACATTCAGTGCACAAGGGCCTATCCGCGCAGTCGGACCAGAACATATTTGCAAATAGAGCAGAGGGGGAGAGCTGAACGGAAAAGGATAGCTCCACGTAGACATCTTTGCAAATATTAATCCAAATGCAGTATGTACAAGTGCCGATAATAATTATCATCAGAGTAGAACACGAAGAAAGCTCTTTTGTTTCTATCACTATCCCAAACATCATTTTTTTTTTAATGTAGTTAGCTTTTTTCCCCCTTTGTCTCAACTGCAGATTGATTATTCCAAACACAGAAATCGCATCACTCCATGTGTCAACCACACATATCTTGGCGTTATTGTGAAGACATTATAGATATGATTCATAGCTTATGCTTTAATTAATAAAGTTGTCCCTTATCCCCCCAAAAAAAAAAGAAGATCGAACCCAGCTCATCGACAAGTCATTGATTGTGTGAGGTACTAGATGATATTGATGATTGTAAAGTATAGTCATGTGGCATAAGAAGAAAATCTTTGTAACCAACCAACACAAGTCTGTTCTATTGTTATTATTTACTTTACTGTATGGTTGATTGAGAATGAGAAGGATTGAGATTAGAATTGAGAAAAACTATTATGAGTAATTGTTTGTTATATAAGATTATTGTTTGTTACACAAGATTATGTAATCCCATGTGAGTGTGATTGAGAAATATTACATCTCTCCTCATGGCTCCTACCTATATGGGTTTGCTCAATTTCAGGCGACGAACAATTTCTTATATTAAACAATCATTTAACATTTTTTTTAATCCCAATTATAATTTTTACTGCTCATTTTCAATGCTTTGTATCAAACAAAGTCTATTAGGTACAAATTTTTGTAGTCCATGCATGCAATTAGATTCAGGCATCTAACATTTCAAAATGACAGAAAAAGAAGTAAATCTAAATTAGCATTTTGAAATTCAAGAGAAATGATAAAAATATACTTTATTTTTTTCAAAAAAAAAAAGAAAACAAAACAATTGAACCCCTTGTCGGACATCATGTCGGCGGCGGCCCCCAATGGCTTTCGGTGTTTGGAAAGCGGCGTAGTTAGGGGATCAAATCCCACTAACCTCACTTTCCTCCCCTTTAAAAAAAACTCCTCTTGCAAAAAAGGAAAAACATCCCCACTAGTGGCTAGCACTAGAGTTCTGGCATTGCTGGGCAGCTAGCCAATAGCTGGGTGCTAACAAGGGGCCAAAACTTCTTTTATATGAAAAAAGGAAAACCATATTGGAGGTACTTATACTTTCTCTCAATTTTCAATTTGGTACCTATGTGTTTTTTGTTCTGAACTAAATCTTTAATTTTGCTTTATTAACATCATTAATTCTTATGTAGAGACTAAAAATATCAATAGAACAAAGTTATAAGAGTTAATGTTGCTAAAAAGATAAAATTAAATGTTTAATTAAAGGGAAAAAATACATAGGTACCAAATTAAAATTTGAGAGAAAGTATAGGTACCTTCAATATATAAAAAAAATAAAATAGTATTTTTATCATTTTTTTTTTAATTTCAAATTTTCAATTTCAATTTACTTTCTTTTCTGCCATTTTTAACTCTTTAGTGTCTGAATTGGAAAACAATAATTTCACTATTCTTTTTCCCGAATCTTCTCGTATTCAAAAGTCCAATGAATGCTTTAAAAAAAAGAAAAAGAAAAATCAGAATCTTGCCCAAACAAAGAAGAGTGCGTGTGCGCAGATATAGTAAGCAATTCGATCATGAGTGTAAAAATACAGGATTTCTGAATTTCAATTTGATACATGTGGAATAATGATCTGGCATTTGTCAAATTCGAGTCACTAATTTGGGTTTTCCAAATTTTAGGGGCTCTTTATCTAGAGTTTTTCTTATTTTAATTAAGGATTTACATATACCCACATGATTATTGCAGGTGATTCAAATAAAGGACGTTAATCATTACAAGGTATTACAATCATCGACATTGAAATTGACTTGAGCACCACACATTGGCGATGCTAATTTGTGACTCGTTCGGACACTACTAGCCACAAAATTTCCTGGAATGACATGTTCCTGACGTAGAGGTATGTTTGAGACTTATTGTTACTACAATACCACTCATTTCTTTTTTTTTTAACTCTGATTAACTCTCTAAAAATATATTGTATGTATTTGCTTGCTAAATGCAGAAGATATAAATCCCGTTTATTTCTGCTCATCGTCTTAAAATGTTTCTGATATTTCATATGTTTCGCGTAGAAACGGAACGGAGCCTCAATGGTTTATATATTTTGTTTACATATGAATAGTGATGCACCAAACACATAATGGTTACCATGAGAACAGGGGGACCAGTGATGCATATCAAAATGTAAAGTGGAAGATTTGAGTATCAATTAAGTTACATTTATTTTAACCATAGATGGTTAATATATTTCATATCTTGATATCTCCGCTCTGCGTTCAAGCCACACCCCACCTGAAAACAGAGGTAAACATACAAACAAATGGGGGATGAGAAGGTATATACTTACAAATCCAAAGATGAATGTAAGAGGAATTATCTTAGTTTAAGTTGAACTAATTCATCAAAAGTTCTCATTCTTTTGGTGTTTAGGATAATGCAATGCAACGTTTAAGCATTAATCCCATTTATGTCTAACAGATAAAGGACCATTCTCCTCAATGTCTTAAACTCAGGCATGATATAATATTGGTTTTCCTTCCAAATTGGATAATTTCATGAAACTATACTGAACCAAAAATATAATCAATCTTGCTGAAAGCATGAAGAATGAAACCAATAATCCATCAAAAAATATTAAAAGAACAGGTTAAAAATTAAAGTGAGAGGGATGTAATTCAGCAATATACATGTTAATCTTGCACCATCATTACATTGTCCTGCCATTTACCTCCAAGTTAATTTGCTAGCGAAATTGTCTCTTCCTATATATGTGCTCTTGTCTATAAGACTCTAAATTCTATCATGCCTCTCCGTGTTCATGTCCAACCTTCTCAGTATCTTAGCAACAAGATATATATTTCTGTGTTTCACCCAACATCTCATTAGCCAAATTGTAAATATGCAAGCATCAAAAGCACATATGCATGCAGTGAAATTATAAGTATTAAGTAGTTCAACTTTTTTTCCCCCTTGACTACTTCTTTTCCAGCACAAAAAATATCTTTCATTGTAATCATTCCAGAGGCACTCTACCAGATTATAATATTCAATCATTAAACAAGAAATTCATTCCAGATCTGCTTCACATAATGCTTTTTATTTTATAGAACAGAAACCCCTTTTCAACTACAACAGTCAAATCAGTTCAACTTAAATTAGTGAGAACCGTGAACACTATAATGAAGGATTCACAGTAATCAAATACCTTGCTAAGTGCTAGACACCGAAGGGGCATCACCCACGAGCTTAAAATCCTGCACCTCCTTCGAGTTCAACCATGGCTTCTCCAAAACCTTGGCTTCATAAACTTTTTTCTTCCCACCGTCCGTTGCCTCCAGCGTGATGTGGTACAAGGTACCAGCAACCACCTGCTTTTTTGTGTTTATAACCCGCCCAAACTCCAGAAGTGCATTCTGCATAAATATGGTAAATTTAATTAGAAAAAAAATTCAATTAAAAAAGGATACAAAATTTACAATTGAAATTTCCCATTCTCAGATATTACATATCTAGAATTCAATAATACATTACGAGAAATGCATGATAACAGTGGAATTTAATTCAAGCGCCGAAACACTAAAACAACCATTAACATCAGCAAATCAAAATGCTGAAACAGATTATCAGCCGACCCTAAACAAATTTAACATATCGGATTTCTCGGGAAACAAACAAGTGCAAAAGGAATACCAATTTAGGAGTGAGAGAGATCGAAGAAGAAGAAAAAGAAACCTCTTTTTTGTTGTGTTCGTCGACGGCGAAGCGAGCAAGATTGTCGATCTCAAGGCTGTTCTGGTTTCCTTCAACCTCACGAACACCACCCAATGCTGCCATTTCGCTTTACTCTCTCTTCGATTATTCGATCTCTTGCTTTGATGGTCTTCTTTTCGGAGTCGTCCTCTGCTTCCTCTTATATATCGTTTCGTTGGTTAAAATGGCGCCATCGAAGGAGATCATCTGCGGGACAATCCATTATGGAATCATGTACACGCCAGCGTGTCACCAATCAAATATTTTCGTACGTTTTACCGAGGAGGATCAACGATATGTAGTCATTGGGTAGCCAAGGGGAGCACACGAGGCGATTGCGTCCTAGCTTTCTCCTTTTCTAAGAATTGTGGGTTGTGGAAGGGCACTAGTTCCACGCAATTTAAGTGTCTGTTTGGATCAGCGATTGGAAAAACAACTTATAAAAAAAGTAATTTATGGAAAAGTGAAATTAGTAAAAGTTAAATTAGATAAGCTGAATTGTGTTTGGATTGGAGTTTAGAAAAGTCAGTTTGTAAAAGTGAGATTGATAAAAACTTGTTTGGATTATAGTTGAGTAAAAGTAAGTTTGGCTGAAAAATTACCAAAATGGGTATGAGTTTTAATAAATAATAAAACATGATAAAAAATTAATTTCAAATAATATAATAAAATTAAAATAAATTAATATGAAGAAATCAAATTTAATGAGTGGATTAAATTTTAAAATTTTAAAGAAATCATAAAAAATATTTTAAATATACAGTGAAACATGGAGAAAAAAACAGAACTGAGATAATATAATAAAGAAGTGAAATTTAATGAGTGGATTAAAATTGAAAACTTTAGAGAAATCATAAAAAATATTTTAAATAGAGAAAAAATATTTTAAAAAATATTTTTTTCCGGAACTTTGAGAAAAAATCATAAAAACTTTAGGGAGGCACGAAAGAAAGACTGGAAAAGGAGGAAGGTCACGGGCAGAGAAAAGGCAGAAAAAGAAACGAATAAAAAAATGGAGAGAGAACTGACAAAAAATATAACGGTCCAGAGAGCTTTGTAATCGGGCATTGCAATTTCAAAAAGCTTCTTAACAGAGCTTAACAGATCGGGCTGTGCAATCTGATTTTTGGTGGATAAGCTGGATGGCCCAAACGCTGATCCAAACTACCTTCAATATGCAATCGGGCTTATTATAGCTTTTCATCGGCGTTTGGCCCATAAAACGCTCTCCCAAACAGGCTCTAAGTAGTGGCGAATAATCACCTTTTGCTTTATTTTAGATTTCTTCTTCTTTTTTGTATAATTAGATATAGAATTTTGCACCAAATATTCACAACAACTAATTGGCTTTTCAACTGAGTTGTATTTATCCTCGAAATTTGACACTAAGTACTCCATCGGTTCTAAATATAAGACACATTTTGTTGTATAAATTATATTATAAAATGGGTATTCCTTCAATCCTAAATATAAGACTTATTTTGTAGTGTAAATTATACTACAAAATGAATCTTACTACAAAATAGGTCTTATATTTTGGACCGGAGGGAGTACATAACAATTATTAGGTTAATCCCCTGCATAATTAGGTTAGTTTATCTTCTTTTAATATTATTTTGACTTTCATAAAAAAATTAGTAAATTAAATAAGTAATTTTTTTAATTATTTGATCAACTTGAAATTGAGATGGCATTTCGGGCGGGTGGAGACCCGCACGCTCCTCATTTCCGGGTTTATGCCTTTTTGGGGCGGGTCATTTCAGGTTTGCAAACACTCGAAGAATCACGAACCGCGAAAACTGACCGATCCAAGCATTCGAGGTCCGACATTCTTCTACAGTTATGTTCTTACGCCTTGCGCTGTAAGAAGGAAGTCCGCAAAGCACTGCGAAACGAGCTTCGACCTTAGCTCCAATGGCTTCTCCAACTTCAGAGGCAGAATCGGCTGGAAATAGAAACCTTCTCTCTCTTTACTCCAACTATATCTGGAATCGTCTGCACGGTTTGTATGCATTCATCGGCAGGTTCTACAACCTTCATAACGTGGCTGCTCGTTTTAGATCACGCAAACGTCGGGAATGCCTCCCTCTGCCATTGCCTTCCAGCTCGCTGGACTCTTCTTTGTATGGTCATTTGACATTCATTTATAGCTTTGTTTTGCCTGCGAGATATTCAGTGAGAGTGAATTTGTTAAGTGTCATGTTGAGCTCGTTTGGTTGTTCCTTGACTTGCAGTGATAAATTAACTCTGAATTCAGTGTCTCTATTTGAAGATATTTGCAGTTCCTGTGTTCTTTTTCTCATTGCTCTGGCCATTGGGCTCCTAGCAAAGATTAGCTGCCATAGACTTTGAATGATTTCAATCAATGAAATATGCAAAGTTTATAATTGCACGATACTGAATGATTTATGGGGTTCCTTGCGGGAGAAAGAGGACTTGTTTCATTCCACTCAACCAGTTCCTCGCTACCCACATTGAATTGAGTTAATAGAAATTTGAGAAGAAATGAACTTCAAAAGCAATTTTGCATGTCATCTCACTTGTTCTATAATGAATAATATGCTGATTCAGAAGTTTGGCGTCCTTGCATCGCAGGTTTATGAGTAAGCCATCTAGAGCGTATGATGTTTTGGAGGATATATTTGAACATGTTCTGAAAAATTTGCATAGCATTCAAAAGAATCTGCAGTTTTGGCAGTCCAGAGCGGAGGTTAGTTTTTTTTTTTTTTTGGGGGGGGGGGCTGTGTTTAGGCTGTAAAGCCAATAGTGTTCATTGAATGCACTTCAATAAGTCATTGTAAACTTTGTTGGTTCCCTGTTTTCGTATTCAGAAATCAGATGCTAGCAAAGCATATTTCATGATTCTTGAGAGAGGTCCAAGGGCTTTTATTGATGAAACAGTTCACTTGTTGCGTGGACGTGAAGCTAATGGTTCTTCCATACAGCAGCTGAGTCAATCTGCATCTGTTTATATAAACGAGAGAGTAACTGTCTTAAGTACCTTAAGATATTCACTTGCCACGTTCTTGGCTCAGGTTAGCAGTTTGCTTCATTCAACTGTCAGCTAGTTTGTGTTAATATCATGATGGTCTTACTCTCAAACATATTATTTCTTTCTTCCTCTTGTTTAGATTGGTAATTCTATGCGATGTAGGCATGTATGGTTGTCCTTTCACATGGCTATATTGGACATTTGAAGGTGCTATTTTTGATGATATTGATTGGATTTTTGGATCTAAATATTCTAATATAATGAAGATTTTGTTAGCTATCTTGAACATTGTCTTAATATTGTTGGTTGTAGCAAATATGAAAGAGGGTTGAGCTATCAATCCTCCTTAATATTCCCTATGCGTTGCTGAACCAGTTTGGCTGATTGGTCAGGTGGGGTTCCACTGTGAGTTCTGCACTTGCTAAAAGTAGTCTCATATTTCTAACACTACCCCTAGTTTCTCACTACCCCTAGTTTCTCTCATAACAGATTTGTTATGAGTCAATGGTTTAACCGGTTGACTTGGTTTCTCTCATGACAGATTTGTTATGGGTCAATGGTTTAACGGGTTGAATTCAGTCGACTCATGAATTTGTTGCAGTTTGAAAATATTGTATATCCAGCTGCATACTGGTGGTGTTAAAATGGATTATTTTGTGCTTCCTCATGGGTGTTCAATCCTAAGTTTCTCTGGTGATTTTCTTTGTTGGCCTGTCGGAGAGATCGAAGGGCTTATTTAGATATTAATGTATATTGTTGGTGGGATAATGGAATGTATTGATTGGTTTGGTGCAAGAGTATTCTGCCAATTGAGAACAATGTTTTTCTTCCTGGGACAAAATTGTGTTCAATTAATTAGGAAAATTGCGGAACTCCTTCACAAAATGATGCAGTTAACCTTGAAACCCGTGCTTTTGGTTAGCTTTTGCCTTTTGTTTTTCTTTTTTGTCTTTTTTGTTCATTGGTTTTGGAAGGACTCTGATGATCTATTTTTTCTATTGATGCAATCTTTTATTAAAGGGGGAATGAGAGGGAGAATTATGATTTAGCGACAACTCTTAGCAAACAACTTTTTATTATGGAAAAAAAGCTTATGAGGTATTAACGGTGAATAAGATTGGATAGTTTTCTTTTATTGATCCCCCTCCCCCCTTTCCTTTTTTTCTCTTTTGTTTTTGGTCATTTCTGGAGGAGTTCCTATTATCCTAAAATAAAATGATGCCACTGAGCTATCCCCAACCAATGCCTTATCTTATTCACTCTATCGTGGAATATAGCTTCATGATTCAGTCCGCAGAGGCTTCAAATAGTGCTCTTCACATGTGGGCATGATCACTTAATTGAATTTAGTTTCTGGAACGTAACATGATTTTATAAACAGAATAGTCTAAAACTATGCTGGGAACTCAACAGAGTAGCCGAAAGCCTACAATGAAAAATAAACAGGTTCAATTTAATGCACATGAGATCAATTTTATTTGAAGCCATAAATTTATTGATATTACATCAAATGCGAAATTTCAGATTTGCCCTTAGGTTATCCTTCTTATTATGTTTGGAAAAATATTTTCAGGTTTATTTTGAAGTTGATAGAACTGGGGAGGAGTTAGTAAAGGATCCAGAGCAGAAACTGCCCTCGTTATTGGGTACAATTAACGATTTGTTCACAACTTTAGAAGCATCTATTGGACACCTACATGCAATGCGCCAGGTTTGCATGAACAGAGCATCAGTTCCTCTTTTCTTGTTTCTTTTTTCATTTTGTATTTTTATTTTCTGATGTACGATTTTTTAATGCCAATAAACTGGAGGCAATTGTACTTTGCATTCAGTTTCAATACTTGTTTCCAAATCTGTTGGTTTCTTCTTGCAGAGTGATTCTTCTGTCGATGGGACCTATTCTTTTCCTCTGCTGTTTGAGAAGCTGCCGGAAATAAATCATGAGGGGTCTCAATGGACAGATTGTGAAATTAGGGATGCTATCAATTCTGTTTATCGAAATTTACACAAGCTGGACAGTTATATATCTGTACTTGTAAGAGCTTTTATCTATATTCTGGCATTGGCTTATGGAGGAGATAATTATCTTAATATTACCTAAATGCTTATGATTGCCAGAAAATTCATTGTATGATATATTCTGTAGTACTCCTTTATCTACTAGCATGTACGGCTTTTGCAGCTTGGTAACATATCCTAGTAATACCTTTTAATATGGAAGAAAACTGATAACTATTAAAACATAATTTCTTTTTGTGGCGAAAATTTATGAACCATGCAGTGACATGCATGGCCTTGGAAAGAAGAGAAGGGGTTTGTTCTTGGTAGACAATTCAATTTTTTTCTAC